AAACACATACCAGCTTCATCACTGTGTCTGTCACGCGACTCTGTTCCCCTTTCGGGCTCTGTCTTTACATTTATTTTGAAAGATGAAGCTCACGATTATGGTAAGGGGCGTTACATTTCCGACGAGTGCTTGCGGTGTTCGGCCAATCACAATGCACTGGGTCAGCTGGCCAATCAGAGCAGACTGCGCTTGTCGGAAGGAGGGACTTTGTAGAAAACGAAGCGTTTGAGAGAGGCGGGGCATAGAGGACCTACAATAATGTACAGTATTTGAAAAATAATGTGTTTTTTGAACATTAAAGCATGTCAACATATTCTGTTACACCAAATACACAAAATAATGATCTTTAAAAAAGCATCATATGACCCCTTTAAAAAGTCTAAGTGGTATTTGCAAGTCTGCTAATTTGTCTATTAGGGGTGCAACGGTTCAACTTACGGTTCGGTTTGCATCACGGTTTTAGAGTCACGATTTCGGTACGGTTCGGTATGTGCTATGTTTAGGGAAAAAACGATATTGTCAAAATAAAATAAAGAAAATAAGAACAAATAATCTAACTACAAGCAACAGCACAAATAAATAAACAGCGAAAAAAGATACAAATAAAATAAACAGTGCTTTTCAGTTTTTTTGATTAACATTAAGAAAGTGCTGTCACTTTAAGAGAATGCACTGATACTGTACGTTCAGCCGACTATGCCTGCTAGGATATTCACCAAGACGGGTATTTTGACATCATTTTTGTGTGAATTTGTCCATTCAAACACAATACTTCACAGAGCGCTTAATATTTGCGCGCGTTCTGAGTTCACGCGCTTTGGATGAGCGACCACACAGATCTTCTCACTGCGAGCGCGAGTTCACGTCTTCTGGCTCTTTAATATTTAAACTGGCCAGGCTTAAATGAGTTTGAACCGCGGTCCTAGTGTATGCCGAACCGTGTGGAGAACCGTTGCACCCCTATTGTCTATTATAGAATCAGACATATAATTACTAGCCTATGCTGTGAATAAAATCAATGGTATTTGAATGCTTTTCACAATACAGATAGTTTCCAAGGCAATATAAATGTATTAATTTTTATTTATTAAGATATTTGCACTGCAGAATGGGATCTAATTGAGCAAAATTGCTTTTTAATGCAAAATCATTTATTATTTTGTCTTTTAATTTTAGGGTGAAAATATAACCTAAAAATTTATTTGTGAGATACACCATAGAAGGAAACGGTTTCATCCAAAGCAATTCCAGCATTTGTTGACATTTGTTTATCACGCTCCAGCAGTCGTATCAGCAGGTCTGCTCACGGTGTCCCAAAACCTTTACCTAATTTGTAAGCTGTACAAGGTGTTCAAGTGTGTCCATGATGTGTGTTCTCTTGTGAGGAACTGCATGGTTCGTTCAGTCCACAAAAGATGCAATGAATTATGAGCCAGGCAGATTAATCGGCTGATATTTGCTAATGTTGACCTTTTCTCGTAAATGATCTTATTTTGCTACTGTAGTCATTTTTTAGTACCATGCAGCTAAATGACAGACCAAGTGAAGCTTTTCTGATGCTTCCTCCCATTTGGAATCTTGCGCACAGGTAAAATCTTTAGTAAATTACTAATTTATGGCTGTCTTAAAAGTACACCCTTTTTTTTTTATTCATACCAGATGGTTTTATGTCAACAAATCATTACAGTTCTAACAATTTACACTGCATATTTACATCCAGACCCTTGACCATATGACATGGGCCACCAGAAACGGCGATCAGAGAGAAGAGGTTTATCTGCCACAATAAAATGGCACACGCTTTATGCGCACAATCAGCAGGAAGCCAAGAGCAAGTTACTATGACAAATAGGGATTATCATGCATTACTGGAAATGCATGCATATGAGCGATACACTGCAGAGCTGCTTTTTCGCTGGCACGTGCCCATCAGGTATCTGAGCCCTCTTTGGCAGCATGTCCTCAGAAACAGGGCAGTGTGACGAGAGTCCGTACTCGAGTATGCGCGTGTACAGATGCATGCATTTGTGTGCGCGATCACATGTGTCAAGTGGACAAAAGCTAGATGAGTGTAATTGTGCCACGGCTCACAGCTCCTTCACAGTTCATTTTCACGAATAGAAACTGGCTCGCACCTTGTTCCTCTAGTGGCACGTCTCTCTGGGTTTGTCCGTTGCTTTATTAAGAGCTCTCCCAGGTTGCTCTAGCCCTGGAGGGCTGTTTCCAGCACTGCTCATAACACAGTTTCTTGTTATAAAAACATACACCTCTATTTTCCGATTCAGTCGTTTAATATTCCGCCACAGCCTGTCGGAATTCTTCCGTTACAGGTGTAATAATGTTTTAGCTTTTAAAAACAGTTGGATAGAAATTAAACATCTGTATTGTTTTCCATGGCAGGAGCTCATTTTACACACTGATAACAGGGAGCAAAACACACATGGGGGTGTTTTAACCCTCATTTTTTCCTATCTATTCAAAAATACATTCAAATTGTAATTCATATTCAAAGAATTGAAAACACCTCTTCTATCAGTGCTGTTAAAGTTAATTAAAACTAAAACTATTAAAAATAATTTTCAGTAATTGCAATAAAGCTGAACTAAAATAAAATATAAAATGTTTTCTTGGCTGTACTGACATCATTTTAAGTTGATGTACTAAAACTAAAACTGAAATGTAAATTAATCAAAACTATATAGAAATATTTAAAAATCAAAAAATAAATAAAAATAAAAATATATAAATATATAAAAATATTAAATATAAAAAAATAAAATGACAAGTACATAATACAATTATTAAAATTTATTTTACAAACTTTTAAGTGAAAACTATGAAACGAAAAGTAAAAATGTAAATGCTATACTATAAATAATAGTAATACAATAACACTTTCTATGATGGACATGTTTTTAATTTCCAAATTAAAATTAATTTAGATTTGTGTGTGTGTGTGTGTGTGTGTGTGTATGTGTCTAAAAATCAGATATAATGAAGAAAAGTGTCTGATTAAAAGAATAACATTCTTGAAAATAAAATGTTATTGAGTAGTTCGGCATACACTTTTATTTTTTAGCAATCAATCAACAATTATCCTCGCACACCTGCAGGTGATTGATAAGTGTGTAGTACAAATGACCTAAAAACAAGTCAAACGTCCAAATAAAAATGAATGAATCCCGCACACTATCAGTACGTGTAAACGTATAAAAAATTTGATTTTTGGTCCCATGACCTTCATCAGGCATACAGTATATGTGTATATTGATTATTATTTTTTTTAGAAAAATAAGCAACAAAGCAGTGTTGGTAAAATATTTTAAAACCTGTATTCTGCATTATGTAAATTCATTTAATGTATCTTTGTGTATTGTGTTGTAGTAGATCAATTACCTTCCACAAAGTGATGGTCTATTATTTGATTCTATATGGCCGAACCATTTTTCCACACTCTTGAGCCTTTAGAAGTTGATCGGTCACCATCCACCTATATATGGATTCTATTGTAACCCATAATAAGCTTATCAGATGCTGGTCTTTGATCAGGCACTAAGCCTTTGGCAAAGACCTGTGCACCCTTAAATACACATGATTGAGCGCTCTTAGTGCATATGTATATTATTGAAATGTTCATAATAACCAATACAAGTTAAGCTCTATTGAAAGCACCTAGAGCATTTAAACTGGGTAACGTTTGCATAATACAAGCAAGAATATGGAATGTGGTGTAGCGAATTTCATCTGCTTAAAAGAGTAGACCAACCATTAAAAGTAAATTTTTAAAGCTAAAATATCTATTTTTTATACCGAAGAACCCATTTCCCGTCTACCATTGATTGAACAAACAGATTGCCCCGCCTGAAAATGCAATTGAAATTTTTTATATTTACAGAAAAACATTCTTAAAAATAAAGGTTCTTTATTGGCATCTATGGGTCCATGAAGAACCTTGAACATCCATAGAAACTTTACTCTAAATGTTCTTCACCATTAAAAAAAAATATGGTTCTTTTAAGAAATGTTCACTCAAAAGTTTGAGAAACACAAAATGGTTATTCTTCTGTGACATCAATGCAAAAACACCCTTTTGGAACCTTTATTTTTAAGAGTTAAAGAACACAAAATCTGTTTGACAAGTACATTTAATTCTGTAGGGCTTTTCTGTTCAGATCAAGACAGCATACACATAGCAGTGGAGTTTCCTGTCTCAGTGTTAGGGAAAGATATCCCAGTAGATAAGCAGGTTAAATTGGATTTTATAAGTGGAGCCATTATTGAACCAATCAATGCAGCAGTATGAGCTGACGGAGTTTACCAGCAGTGCACATTTGTAAACAAACACGGGACTGGACCAGCAGGTGTGGTCTGATGATTTGATCTACTCAGCATTTTATTTGTTCACCCTCATGTCAAGCCGTATGGCCTTCTTTCTTCTATGAAACACAAAAGGAGATGTTTAGCACAATGTTCACGCTGCTCTTTTCCATACAATGAAAGAGGATGGGGACTGCGACTGTCCCGACTCCATAAACATTCTTTGAAACTACTTCACTGAAGATAGAAAGCCGTTCGCGCTTGGAATGACATGAGGGAGTAAATGTGAGAGAATTGTTATTTTTGGATGAACTATTCCTTCAAGCACCACTCTGAGAAGTTAATGAAATATTCATAGGCAATAATGAAATAATGAAAGTGTTAGAACAACTATGTACAACAATGTTCAGTGTCTTAGATCTTGTATTTTCTGGATCTTGTCTACATTGCTCTACAGGGTTTTAAAAATTCACGCGGGGCCCCTCAGAAACAAAGAGCCAAAATGAAACTGTCAGAGGCTTTTGAATCTTTTTTTATTTTTATTTTAATTTTCTGTCTTGTGGGGCTCATACGAGTTACATTAAACCACTGTTGTTCTTGAAATTCACTAGGTCTAGACACTTGCACTACTTGTATTGTTTGTAGACATATAAGCTAACTCTTATGCAACTGCTCTTTAACAGGTGCTGGGGAGTCTGGGAAGAGTACAATAGTCAAACAAATGAAGTAAGCGACTTGTTTTCATTTTCTACTCTAACTACACTTCAGTTTTATGCTAAATATCATTTATTGGTTACGCATATCTCTCTACATAGAATCATCCATGAGGCAGGCTACTCAGAGGAGGAGTGCAAACAGTACAAAGCTGTTGTCTACAGCAACACTATTCAGTCTATCATCGCCATCATTCGTGCCATGGGGCGACTCAAGATCGATTTCGGAGACGCAGCACGAGCGGTGAGTCACAGGATTGGTGGCCTGGTGCACTTCATGTTGCCTACAGCCCACTTGCGTAGATTCACAGACACTACAAGAATGTGAATGAATGGGCGAAATTGTACCGTTCAATATGGCGGCTGGAAGTTCAATTAAATGCATCGCCTTTGATAGTGAATGTTAAATCCAGAACTTGCAATTGGTGAAAAATTCAATTCAAACGTGCAATGACTGAGATACTTGAAATCTGCTGTACTCCCTGTGTCTCAGGATGATGCGAGGCAGTTGTTTGTGTTGGCGGGCAGCGCTGAGGAGGGTTTCATGACAGCAGAGCTGGCTGGAGTGATAAAGCGTTTGTGGAAGGACGGAGGAGTGCAGGCCTGTTTCAGTCGATCCAGAGAGTACCAGCTCAACGATTCAGCAGCATAGTGGGTATCTTTGTCTTTAAGCCCCCATTCTGTTTTCTTGTGCTTCTCGCATATATGTCCTCTGCCAGACCTTACACCACATTCTAACCAAGTGTGAAGCAATAAAGTATTAGGTGATGAATCACCCCACAGGAAAAAGAAAAATCAAATCAGAGATCTCTTTAATATTTCAGTTGGAGAGCAAATTGAAACTTTAGCATCTATGATCATCTGTGTCTCTTCTAGAGTTTCAGATGTATCAAACTGTACTCAGCTTTGCCCACACACCAAAGCCTATAATCAGAAGTTGGAGATCTCAATTCCACATTTTATGCATTATTTAACTGTGACAGTAACTAACAGTTGTCTCATTTGTATCCGTTTTTACGTCTTCTACGAGAGTGAAACTTAAATGAAATAATTGAGAAACCTCCTTGTTGGAGATTTCCTCTGGGGCATCTCAGCGATTTTTGTCCAGTGTGACATTAAGGCAGACATATTTTGTCAGTCGTTTGGTTTCTACTGAGTGCAGCAATCAGGTTCCAAAAGTAAAAATCCTATTAATTTTCTCCATTGGGGAATTGATTTTTTTACCTTAACTTATAAACCATTAATTTGAGACCTAATGTGATTTTTGAGGTTGTTAATATGCTTCCATCAGCCTACATTATTTGAACTGTTTTATTTTGTAATAATCATGTTTAATAGTGGAATTCCTGGTTATACAAAAATAAAAAAAATAAAAAAAACATTACCCATGACACCCGCCCACTCCCATGAGTCAGTCTCCTTACACTCTCAAACGGCTTAAATATTTGCATCTATATGCTTACTGTGCAACAAACATAAAATATATAGTGTTTCTATATATATATATATATAGTGTTTATATAAAATCAATAACTTTAAATGAACGGTTTTCTATTTTATGTTTTAATTCGATTATATCTTTCACAATGGGACTGTAGCTCATTCCCAGATTGAAGCCGTTAAAGGGTTAGTTCACCCAAAAATGAAAATTCTGTCATTAATTACTCACCCTCATGTCGTTTCAAACCCATAAGACCTTCGTTCATCTTCAGAACACAAATTAAGATATTTTTGATTGAATCTGAGAGCTGTCTGACCCTGCATAGACAGCAACGCAACTAAAATGTTCCCAAGTCCAGAAACGTAGCAAGGAGATCGGTAAAATAATCCATGTGATATCAGTGGTTCATCCGCAATTATACGAAGCTACGAGAATACGTTTTGTGCGCAAAAGAAAAAAAAAAAGAAGACTTTATTCAACAATTCGTCTCCTCTATATCACCCTGGTGCTATTTTGGAGAATATCCGCTGGACATAAACAGCATATGCTGTTCTGTGTCAGCTGCGCCACACGGATACGTTGTTTCCGTTCAGATCAAATCACAACAACGTAGAAAACAAATCCGGCGTGACGCAGCTGACACAGAACAGCATACGTTGTTTACATCCAGCTGATACTCTCCAAAATGGCGCTACAGGGTGATGCGGAGGAGACGAATTGTTGAATAAAGTCGTTCTTTTTTTTTCTTTTGCGCACAAAAATTATTCTCGTAGCTTCGTATAATTGCGGATGAACCCCTGATGTCACATGGATTATTTTACAGATCTCCTTGCTACGTTTCTGGACTTGGGAACATTTCAGTTGTATTGCTGTCTATGCAGGGTCAGACAGCTCTCAGATTCCATCAAAAATATCTTAATTTGTGTTCTGAAGATGAACGAAGGTCTTATGGGTTTGAAACGACATGAGGGTGAGTAATTAATGACAGAATTTTCATTTTTGGGTGAACTATCCCTTTAAGTACCGAGTCTTGTACCTTTTTTTCTGATTTTTTTTTTCTTTTTCTGATGTTATGATTCACCTCGTGGCTGGTTGGGTTGGTTCATGGCCTACAAGTCTTTAACAAAGACTTTTTTAATATCCCAATGGAAAAAATACTACTGGAACCAAGGCAGTTAAAAAAGTGGGCAGACATCGTTTCATTCTATTCTAATTGCTCAGCCCACATTGAATTTTCATTGGTCCAAAATTCCATTCAACACAGATACATATTAAACATCAAATTTGTAACATTTCATGACTGTAAGTCCTCACTGGCTGTGATTTTTATCACGTCAGACAGTTTTTTGCTCTCTGCGGGGCTGTTTCACATTTCACCTAGTTGAGACGAACATGAATCGCCTCATAGCTTTTTGTTTTTGTCCTCTACACCCATTCTTTATTTATATTTCTTTATCTGTCTACCTCACATACCATCCTCCCTTCCTATCTCTCTCAGCCTGTTCACCTTTTTGGGTGCTCAACCGTTCATTCCCCCTTCTGTTTTCTAGTTCCCTCCCCTTCTGTTTTTCTTGTTCACTGAACATCAGCCACTGCCAAAACAGCAAGTTCAAACAGCTTTATCCGATACACTGAGATCTCCTGTCTTACCCTATCCAGACTCTCACTGTTTGAGCCTTGAACGAGTTTGTCAGTATTTGCCCCACTGTAGCTGCCTGCTTACTCTGCTTACTAGAACATGCCATTACCCTCGACTCGGAAAACCTGCCTGTCCGACACTAGCCACATGTATACAATGTTGATTTTCACATGAGAAAAATACACAGAAGAAAGTGTGTCACATGCTACAGTTGAATAAATATGTGTGGGTGCATGTTAAAGTTTCATGTTATATCAAACCGGTGCTAAAGATAAAGGAGTTAAAGATAGCAATTAGAGATAACGGTTACGAAGTGTACTTAGAAATTCATGTTTCCCTTAATCAAACAGTTATGGCACTGCTGTTTTCGTACAACTGTGTGTTTGAGTTTCTCTAATTCAGTTCCAAAACCTAATGAGCTGTCTTACCTTCTACTGTCTATTAGAGGTACACTATGCACAGTTGCCCTGCTCAGGCACGATTGCACCCCCCCTCAATGGCCTGCTGACCTGCACTCACATTGCACTTTAACAGGCCTGAGCACGCTTATGTCATTACGATGTGAGTGCAAAAAAAAACAGGAAGAAAACAGTGCTCAGCACAATGGAGTACATCATAATGCTAACTTTGTGGCTTATTATTTTGAGTGGTTTGGGGTGCGGTAACACCCGGTTCTTTCACATGTGTAATATGTTTCTTAACTAATCTATCACTTGTGTCATGTAGAAAGACTGTGTGATGTGTCTCGAATTCTGTGGTTAGTGCTCACATTATATGCATTCTGCGCCAACTGAACCAGTACGGTATGGAGTGATCACACTAGTCGAGCAAACTAGACTTTTCAGGGTCAAACAAGCTAAACATGCTCAGGCACGGTTCATATCGCCTAGAATGAGTACACTTTTAGGCAGATGCCTTCCAAGGAAGAACTGGATAGAACTTCATAAGCATCGGTTCTAAAAACATTGTCAGCTCCACATTGTTTTGTGTGACTGATACTAATAAGCAGAACCAATTTTTTATTATTTATTTTTCCATCAATCCATGTTCCAACCACTTGTCTTGTGCAGGATTGCAAGAAGGCTTGATCCAGCATGTCAGGCATCTGTAGCCAGTAGTTTTATTAGGAGGTTCTTTTTATTAATATAATACAATAACTAAATAACCAATAGATTGCATAAAATAATATGGATTATGAATATTTATTCTTATAATTATTATTGGAATAATTCAACCCCAAATAAAAATAAAATATAAAAATAAAAAAGGATTATGAATATTGAGTTTATTATTATAGTATCATGTCTAACTTGATGAATCAAAGGCAAAAACATATATCAAGAAAATGTTATTTAAAGGGGTCATGTGATGTTGCTAAAAAAGAACATTATTTTGTGTATTTGGTGTAATGAAATGCGTTTATGTGGTTTAAGGTAAAAAAACAAAACACAATTTTCCACATACTGTACATTGTTTCTCCTCTATGTCCCGCCTTTCTGAAATGCGTCGATTTTTACAAAGCTCATCGGTCTGAAAAGCGAGGTGTGCTCTGATTGGCCAGCTATCCAGTGCGTTGTGATTGGCCGAATACCTCAAGCGTGTGACGGAAATGTTACGCCCCTACCATACTGTGATGCCGTGTTCCGGAGCGACGAGACAAAAACATTAAAACCCATTATAAACGAGGCATTTGTTGCATCCAGTGGGGACATAAATACTAATTATAA